ACAGAAAGTGATAAAGTGATATAGTGATATCACAGAAAGTGATAAAGTGATATTACAGAAAGTGATATAGTGATATCACAGAAAGTGATAAAGTGATATAGTGATATTACAGAAAGTGATATAGTGATATTACAGAAAGTGATATAGTGATATCACAGAAAGTGATAAAGTGATATAGTGATATTACAGAAAGTGATCTAGTGATATTACAGAAAGTGATATAGTGATATAGTGATATTACAGAAAGTGATAAAGTGATATATTGATATAGTGATATTACAGAAAGTGACATAGTGATATCACAGAAAGTGATAAAGTGATATTACAGAAAGTGATATAGTGATATTACAGAAAGTGATATAGTGATATTACAGAAAGTGATATAGTGATATCACAGAAAGTGATATAGTGATATTACAGAAAGTGATATAGTGATATTACAGAAAGTGATAAAGTGATATTACAGAAAGTGATAAAGTGATATAGTGATATTACAGAAAGTGATCTAGTGATATTACAGAAAGTGATATAGTGATATAGTGATATTACAGAAAGTGATCTAGTGATATTACAGAAAGTGATATAGTGATAGTGATATTACAGAAAGTGATAAAGTGATATATTGATATAGTGATATTACAGAAAGTGATATATTGATATAGTGATATTACAGAAAGTGATAGAGTGATATATTGATATAGTGATATTACAGAAAGTGATAGTGATATTACAGAAAGTGATATAGTGATATTACAGAAAGTGATATAGTGATATTACAGAAAGTGATATAGTGATATCACAGAAAGTGATAAAGTGATATAGTGATATCACAGAAAGTGATAAAGTGATATAGTGATATTACAGAAAGTGATATAGTGATATAGTGATATTACAGAAAGTGATATAGTGATATCACAGAAAGTGATCTAGTGATATTACAGAAAGTGATATAGTGATATAGTGATATTACAGAAAGTGATAAAGTGATATATTGATATAGTGATATTACAGAAAGTGATATAGTGATATCACAGAAAGTGATAAAGTGATATTACAGAAAGTGATAAAGTGATATATTGATATAGTGATATTACAGAAAGTGATATAGTGATATCACAGAAAGTGATATAGTGATATTACAGAAAGTGATATAGTGATATAGTGATATTACAGAAAGTGATATAGTGATATTACAGAAAGTGATAAAGTGATATAGTGATATTACAGAAAGTGATCTAGTGATATTACAGAAAGTGATATATTGATATAGTGATATTACAGAAAGTGATATAGTGATATAGTGATATTACAGAAAGTGATATAGTGATATTACAGAAAGTGATATAGTGATATAGTGATATTACAGAAAGTGATAAAGTGATATAGTGATATTACAGAAAGTGATCTAGTGATATTACAGAAAGTGATATATTGATATAGTGATATTACAGAAAGTGATCTAGTGATATTACAGAAAGTGATAAAGTGATATTACAGAAAGTGATAAAGTGATATAGTGATATTACAGAAAGTGATCTAGTGATATTACAGAAAGTGATATAGTGATATAGTGATATTACAGAAAGTGATAAAGTGATATAGTGATATTACAGAAAGTGATCTAGTGATATTACAGAAAGTGATATATTGATATAGTGATATTACAGAAAGTGATATAGTGATATAGTGATATTACAGAAAGTGATATAGTGATATTACAGAAAGTGATATAGTGATATAGTGATATTACAGAAAGTGATATATTGATATAGTGATATTACAGAAAGTGATATAGTGATATTACAGAAAGTGATATAGTGATATAGTGATATTACAGAAAGTGATATAGTGATATAGTGATATTACAGAAAGTGATATATTGATAAAGTGATATTACAGAAAGTGATATAGTGATATTACAGTTAGTGATATAGTGATATAGTGATATTACAGAAAGTGATATAGTGATATAGTGATATTACAGAAAGTGATAAAGTGATATATTGATAAAGTGATATATTGATATAGTGATATAGTGATATTACAGAAAGTGATATAGTGATATTACAGAAAGTGATATAGTGATATTACAGAAAGTGATATAGTGATATTACAGAAAGTGATATAGTGATATAGTGATATTACAGAAAGTGATATAGTGATATAGTGATATTACAGAAAGTGATATATTGATAAAGTGATATTACAGAAAGTGATATAGTGATATTACAGTTAGTGATATAGTGATATAGTGATATTACAGAAAGTGATATAGTGATATAGTAGGGGTGTAACGGTACACGTACCCGTACCGAAATTATTCGGTACGGGCCCTTCGGTTCGGTACAGGTGTGTACCGAAGTGTACCGAACGAATATAACGTTAAACGTAAAAAATTGAGAACGTGAACAACTTTTTGGAAGTAATCTCAGGTGCTGCGTCGCAGCATTCAGAGTAATTTGCTCACATTGGGTTCAATGCGTCATAGAGCGAGCAAGTCATTTAATTGGATGAGAGGCATACTATGAGAGCTGGTCAGAGGGATGCGTTCAAATGTAGTCAGTAATTTGAGGAACTGTCGAAAATTAATGGCGAACGCAGATAAAGTTGAGCTCGAAAATCCTCCAGCATCATTGAAGTCTCCGGTTTGAGAACATTTTGGTTTCGCAGTTACGTACAAGGATGAAGGACAAAGACAGGTGGACCGAACCAAAGCTGTTTGTCGGCATTGTTCAACTAAAATTGGTTACGCGGCTGGCAATACATCAAGCTAGCACACTCATTTGAAAAGGCATCACCCGAACGTGAATATCACCGGTACCAAAAGAAAACAGACTGAAGTGCAAAGACAACTCCCACTAGCATGTAAGCCTCCACCACTCGCAGAGAGTTCAGACCGAGCCAAAGCTGTTACAAACACCAAATATCCTTATGTTGCCATGTTAGCAAAGCGCTACCTGGCTGTATCTGCTACCTCTGTCCCTAGCGAGAGGGTGTTCTCCACAGCAGGAGACATTGTTAGTGCCAGCAGATCTGCCCTTTCAGCAAGCAATGTGGACAAGTTCATCTTTCTTTAAAAAAACATGAAAATACAATGACAAGCAAGTCCTAATGTCAAGCTGGCTGCTTAGGAACTAGTACAGTACAGTTCAAATACAGATTATTTCAGTTCATCGAAAAGCTGCACCTTAATGTTTATTTTATTTTATATTTTTTTTAGTGAAGATTCACAGTTTAATAAAAAATAAAAAACCCAAAACTAATAGTTTATGTTTTGTGAGTACTAGTAGCCTACAGTAAAGTTCAAATACAGATTATTTCAGTTAATCGAAATGCTGCACCTTAATGTTTATTTTATTATATTTTGTATTTATTTGAGTGAATACATTATTCACAGTTTAATAATAATAAAAAAAATATATATATATGTTTTATTTTGTGAAAAAAAATTCTGCTGTACCGAAAACGTACCGAACCGAACCGTGACCAAAAAACCGAGGTACGTACCGAACCGAAATGTTTGTGAACCGTTACACCCCTATGATATAGTGATATTACAGAAAGTGATAAAGTGATATATTGATAAAGTGATATTACAGAAAGTGATAAAGTGATATATTGATAAAGTGATATTACAGAAAGTGATAAAGTGATATATTGATAAAGTGATATTACAGAAAGTGATATAGTGATATTACAGTTAGTGATATAGTGATATAGTGATATTACAGAAAGTGATATAGTGATATAGTGATATTACAGAAAGTGATAAAGTGATATATTGATAAAGTGATATTACAGAAAGTGATAAAGTGATATATTGATAAAGTGATATTACAGAAAGTGATAAAGTGATATATTGATAAAGTGATATTACAGAAAGTGATATAGTGATACAGTGATATTACAGATAGTGATAGTGATATTAGGAAGTGATAAAACGACTCACGGCCTCTCCGGAGGGCTGGAACTGATCCAGGAACAGCTGCAGGGACTCCATCGGATCCTCACTACCGCTCTTATTACCGAATCATCAACAAACAAACAAACAACAACAGCACAACGTGCCGCTCTGATGTAAACAAACCGATCCCGCTCAGCTCACTTCCGGGTCCGCTACGGAGTCCTGCGAGGCTCAGAGCGCGAAGCTAAATACACAAAGAGTCTGCGGTGATACTAGTCCGAGTACTAAAACACTCCTTCTGGAGACATACTACCCCTTCTGGAGACAAAATACTCCTTCTGGAGACATAATACTCCTTCTGGAGAGAAAACAGTCCTTCTGGAGACATAACACTCCTTCTGGAGACATAACAGTCCTTCTGGAGACATATTATATTAATACTGTATAATGTTGCAGCTGGTCGGTCAATATATAATACATACAATATATATGTTAATGATATTTATGTGTTAGTTGTCTCCAACTCCTGATCAGTCGTTTTAACCCTCTGTCTCTGTGTTAGTGAGACATGTCTTCTGTGTGCTGGAGACATGTCTCACTCGTCACACTGCACATCCTCCATTAATATGCAGATATGTGTTGACACAGATGTATTTGTGAAGCAGCATAAACAAAGCTGCACGAACACACACTGCTTGTGGTTCTGAAACATAAATATAATATGTATTAAAATATATCCCTGTCTGTGTCACCGTGAATCATAAAGCAACTTAATAAATCACAACCACAAAATGTGTTATTATACAATCTCCATCCCCTCCTCCACCTCCTCCCGGACTGGCTGCTGGTTTTGACGTACAGCACCGCTGTCCAATCACACGCAGGAGCGTACACTGGCCCCGCCCCTCCGCGTGTACAGTCCCCGTCCTGCTGGCGTTGCTGGGCAGGCGGAGCCGTGTAGCAACGCTGCTTTGACCTGCAGCCCCATGAGCCAATCACAGGCGAGTATTCATCCAAGCTCCGCCCAGGTCGGCCAGCCGTGTTCCCTCCCTCTGAATGGGAACAACCAACGGGGGCGTTGCTGGGGGGCGTTGCTAGGGGCGTTAGTGGGGGCGTGTCCGCGCTCGAGCTCGACCCAGTTTGAAACAGACGCAGATCTGCAGTCGCTGCTTCAGCTCAACAACAATAACACCTGAGAACCATAGAACCCGAGGGAACCCGAGAGAAACCGAGAGCATCCGAGAGCATCAGCCCGCAGCTCCTCCGAGTGAGTACAATCCTGTAACCCCCTTCATAAAGTCTCTATAAAGACAGAGGAATAACAGAGAAGCGGGGGAATAACGGGGAAAATGGCCGCTGTGAATAACGGTCTGTCTGTGTGCATGCGCGTGTGTGTATGTGTGCGTGCGTGCATGCGTGAGCGTTGTAAACACGGAACGCCCATTTAGGGAGCATGAATGCCAGTAAATAGCCGGGTCCCGTTCACAGACAACGACTCTCCGGAGTATAGACGGAGCCCTGCGTGTGTCCGTTATGTTTCCATGGCACGGCTGCTCTGTATAAACTGCTGTGTGAGATGTTAAACTGCTGTTAGCTGTTAGCATGATGCTAGCGGAGGGGGATGGGACGGCTAGCTCCGCAGTGGGCGGGAAGCAAATGGTGGTCCATTGTTCTGCTGCTAGCTGTTGACTAGCTGTTAGCGGCTAAGCTAACTGCAGCAGCCCCCGGAGGAGCCTCTGTTAGCGGGGCAGAGTCTCCTCTCTCCGGGCAGAGGAGCACCGGGACCCTCCTCCCCTCCCAGACCCGGGTTCCGGAGCCTCTGCTCGGCTCGCTGGGCCTCTGATCCCCGGGAGAAAGGGACCCTCTTTGTTCTCTTTGTGTGTCCGACGCACGGCCGGGAGGCTCCGGTTACCCGGGACCTCCGGGGCTTCTACCGGAGCAGGTGCAGCCGGAGGAGCTGCGTGTGCCTGTGGGGGTGCAAACACTACATTACCACCGGAAACCTGGTTAAAATCAGAGTAAAGGAACAAAGCAGACTCACAGGTTAAAGGGTCAACCCCCCAGGAATCACACTTTCTGGGCATTTTAACCCAATCATAAAGAATGCTTTACCTGAACGGGGTTGTTAATCCTGTGGCATCTGTCCGTGGGTGAACCTGTATTTTATTGTCATGTGTGATTGATACAGCAAACCGCTTACACTTAGATAGCTGTATACAAAGCTCTGCTGCTCAGAGTTTATAAAGAAGGTTAATCATGCATATGAAACGTGTTTTATTCACCCTCTGCTTGATTGATTGATTACCGGCCACTGCTATCAGACAGTATCTGCTTTATGGGTTCATCACATTTTTTATAAATATTATATTTCACACGGTTTTCTGTTTACATTAAAATGAACCTTCAGGAGCAGCTTCAACATGGCTGGAATAATAAATGATCATCCAACATTACATTCCTTATTCTATATGCAGGGCCTCAGTCAGTAGGGGCTGGGAGCCTTAGGGTCGCTGGTTCAAATCCCAGAACAGACCTAAAGTATGGAGCGTGGACTGCTACTTGGAGAGGTCCCAGTTCACCTCCTGCCCTGCCGTGGTGCCCTTGAGCAAGGCACCAGCCTCCCATTGCTCACCGGGCGCTGTGCAATAGCTACCCACTGCTCCTGGTACAGATGTCACTGTGTGTGCTGTGTGCTCTGCATGTGTGACCATTAAAGAGGGTTGCGTCCCTCCCAATTATGATTATGATAAGTCACTGAATAAAATGTCAAATCAATAACCAGTCAGACCCTAACCTCTGTACCTGTCTGTCCTCCTGTCTGTCTGCCAGGCCGCCAGTATGATGCGCAAAGACGTGAACAAGCCGAAGGGCAAGACGTCGGCTTATGCCTTCTTCGTCCAGACGTGTCGAGAGGAACATCGCAAGAAACACCCGGAGCAGTCCGTCAACTTCGCTGAGTTCTCCAAGAAGTGCTCCGAGAGGTGGAAGGTGAGACAGGCACTCAGACAGACAGGTAGAAAGACTGTGCTCCGAGAGGTGGAAGGTGAGACAGGCACTCAGACAGACAGGTAGAAAGACTGTGCTCCGAGAGGTGGAAGGTGAGACAGGCACTCAGACAGACGGGTAGAGAGACTGTGCTCCGAGAGGTGGAAGGTGAGACAGGCACTCAGACAGACGGGTAGAGAGACTGTGCTCCGAGAGGTGGAAGGTGAGACAGGCACTCAGACAGACAGGTAGAGAGACTGTGCTCCGAGAGGTGGAAGGTGAGACAGGCTCTCAGACAGACAGGTAGAGAGACTGTGCTCCGAGAGGTGGAAGGTGAGACAGGCACTCAGACAGACAGGTAGAGAGACTGTGCTCCGAGAGGTGGAAGGTGAGACAGGCACTCAGACAGACAGGTAGAGAGACTGTGCTCCGAGAGGTGGAAGGTGAGACAGGCACTCAGACAGGACAGGTAGAGAGACTGTGCTCCGAGAGGTGGAAGGTGAGACAGGCACTCAGACAGACAGGTAGAGAGACTGTGCTCCGAGAGGTGGAGGTGAGACAGGCACTCAGACAGACAGGTAGAGAGACTGTGCTCCGAGAGGTGGATGGTGAGACAGGCACTCAGACAGACAGGTAGAGAGACTGTGCTCCGAGAGGTGGAAGGTGAGACAGGCACTCAGACAGACAGGTAGAGAGACTGTGCTCCGAGAGGTGGAAGGTGAGACAGGCACTCAGACAGACAGGTAGAGAGACTGTGCTCCGAGAGGTGGAAGGTGAGACAGGCACTCAGACAGACGGGTAGAGAGACTGTGCTCCGAGAGGTGGAAGGTGAGACAGGCACTCAGACAGACAGGTAGAAAGACTGTGCTCCAAGAGGTGGAAGGTGAGACAGGCACTCAGACAGACAGGTAGAGAGACTGTGCTCCGAGAGGTGGAAGGTGAGACAGGCACTCAGACAGACAGGTAGAAAGACTGTGCTCCGAGAGGTGGAAGGTGAGACAGGCACTCAGACAGACAGGTAGAGAGACTGTGCTCCGAGAGGTGGAAGGTGAGACAGGCACTCAGACAGACAGGTAGAGAGACTGTGCTCCGAGAGGTGGAAGGTGAGACAGGCACTCAGACAGACAGGTAGAAAGACTGTGCTCCGAGAGGTGGAAGGTGAGACAGGCTCTCAGACAGACAGGTAGAGAGACTGTGCTCCGAGAGGTGGAAGGTGAGACAGGCACTCAGACAGACAGGTAGAAAGACTGTGCTCCGAGAGGTGGAAGGTGAGACAGGCACTCAGACAGACAGGTAGAGAGACTGTGCTCCGAGAGGTGGAAGGTGAGACAGGCACTCAGACAGACAGGTAGAAAGACTGTGCTCCGAGAGGTGGAAGGTGAGACAGGCACTCAGACAGACAGGTAGAGAGACTGTGCTCCGAGAGGTGGAAGGTGAGACAGGCTCTCAGACAGACAGGTAGAGAGACTGTGCTCCGAGAGGTGGAAGGTGAGACAGGCACTCAGACAGACAGGTAGAGAGACTGTGCTCCGAGAGGTGGAAGGTGAGACGGGCACTCAGACAGACAGGTAGAGAGACTGTGCTCCGAGAGGTGGAAGGTGAGACAGGCTCTCAGACAGACAGGTAGAGAGACTGTGCTCCGAGAGGTGGAAGGTGAGACAGGCACTCAGACAGACAGGTGAAGAGACTGTGCTCCGAGAGGTGGAAGGTGAGACAGGCACTCAGACAGACAGGTAGAAAGACTGTGCTCCGAGAGGTGGAAGGTGAGACAGGCACTCAGACAGACAGGTAGAGAGACTGTGCTCCGAGAGGTGGAAGGTGAGACAGGCTCTCAGACAGACAGGTAGAGAGACTGTGCTCCGAGAGGTGGAAGGTGAGACAGGCTCTCAGACAGACAGGTAGAGAGACTGTGCTCCGAGAGGTGGAAGGTGAGACAGGCTCTCAGACAGACAGGTAGAGAGACTGTGCTCCGAGAGGTGGAAGGTGAGACAGGCACTCAGACAGACAGGTAGAGAGACTGTGCTCCGAGAGGTGGAAGGTGAGACAGGCTCTCAGACAGACAGGTAGAGAGACTGTGCTCCGAGACGTGGAAGGTGAGACGGGCTCTCAGACAGACAGGTAGAGAGACTGTGCTCCGAGAGGTGGAAGGTGAGACAGGCTCTCAGACAGACAGGTAGAGAGACTGTGCTCCGAGAGGTGGATGGTGAGACAGGCACTCAGACAGACAGGTAGAGAGACTGTGCTCCGAGAGGTGGATGGTGAGACAGGCTCTCAGACAGACAGGTAGAAAGACTGTGCTCCGAGAGGTGGAAGGTGAGACAGGCACTCAGACAGACAGGTAGAGAGACTGTGCTCCGAGAGGTGGAAGGTGAGACAGGCACTCAGACAGACAGGTAGAGAGACTGTGCTCCGAGAGGTGGAAGGTGAGACAGGCACTCAGACAGACAGGTAGAGAGACTGTGCTCCGAGAGGTGGAAGGTGAGACAGGCACTCAGACAGACAGGTAGAGAGACTGTGCTCCGAGAGGTGGATGGTGAGACAGGCTCTCAGACAGACAGGTAGAAAGACTGTGCTCCGAGAGGTGGAAGGTGAGACAGGCTCTCAGACAGACAGGTAGAAGACTGTGCTCCGAGAGGTGGATGGTGAGACAGGCTCTCAGACAGACAGGTAGAAAGACTGTGCTCCGAGAGGTGGAAGGTGAGACAGGCTCTCAGACAGACAGGTAGAGAGACTGTGCTCCGAGAGGTGGAAGGTGAGACAGGCACTCAGACAGACAGGTAGAGAGACTGTGCTCCGAGAGGTGGAAGGTGAGACAGGCACTCAGACAGACAGGTAGAGAGACTGTGCTCCGAGAGGTGGAAGGTGAGACAGGCACTCAGACAGACAGGTAGAGAGACTGTGCTCCGAGAGGTGGAAGGTGAGACAGGCACTCAGACAGACAGGTAGAGAGACTGTGCTCCGAGAGGTGGAAGGTGAGACAGGCACTCAGACAGACAGGTAGAGAGACTGTGCTCCGAGAGGTGGAAGGTGAGACAGGCTCTCAGACAGACAGGTAGAGAGACTGTGCTCCGAGAGGTGGAAGGTGAGACAGGCACTCAGACAGACAGGTAGAGAGACTGTGCTCCGAGAGGTGGAAGGTGAGACAGGCACTCAGACAGACAGGTAGAGAGACTGTGCTCCGAGAGGTGGAAGGTGAGACAGGCTCTCAGACAGACAGGTAGAAAGACTGTGCTCCGAGAGGTGGAAGGTGAGACGGGCACTCAGACAGACAGGTAGAGAGACTGTGCTCCGAGAGGTGGAAGGTGAGACAAGCTCTCAGACAGACAGGTAGAAAGACTGTGCTCCGAGAGGTGGAAGGTGAGACAGGCACTCAGACAGACAGGTAGAGAGACTGTGCTCCGAGAGGTGGAAGGTGAGACAGGCATTCAACCAGACAGGTAGAGAGACTGTGCTCCGAGAGGTGGAAGGTGAGACAGGCTCTCAGACAGACAGGTAGAGAGACTGTGCTCCGAGAGGTGGAAGGTGAGACAGGCTCTCAGACAGGACAGGTAGAGAGACTGTGCTCCGAGAGGTGGAAGGTGAGACAGGCATTCAACCAGACAGGTAGAGAGACTGTGCTCCGAGAGGTGGAAGGTGAGACAGGCACTCAGACAGACAGGTAGAGAGACTGTGCTCCGAGAGGTGGAAGGTGAGACAGGCACTCAGACAGACAGGTAGAAAGACTGTGCTCCGAGAGGTGGAAGGTGAGACAGGCACTCAGACAGACAGGTAGAGAGACTGTGCTCCGAGAGGTGGAAGGTGAGACAGGCACTCAGACAGACAGGTAGAGAGACTGTGCTCCGAGAGGTGGAAGGTGAGACGGGCACTCAGACAGACAGGTAGAGAGTGCTCCGAGAGGTGGAAGGTGAGACAGGCACTCAGACAGACAGGTAGAGAGACTGTGCTCCGAGAGGTGGAAGGTGAGACAGGCACTCAGACAGACAGGTAGAGAGACTGTGCTCCGAGAGGTGGAAGGTGAGACAGGCACTCAGACAGACAGGTAGAGAGACTGTGCTCCGAGAGGTGGAAGGTGAGACAGGCTCTCAGACAGACAGGTAGAAAGACTGTGCTCCGAGAGGTGGAAGGTGAGACAGGCACTCAGACAGACAGGTAGAAAGACTGTGCTCCGAGAGGTGGAAGGTGAGACAGGCACTCAGACAGACAGGTAGAGAGACTGTGCTCCGAGAGGTGGAAGGTGAGACAGGCACTCAGACAGACAGGTAGAGAGACTGTGCTCCGAGAGGTGGAAGGTGAGACAGGCACTCAGACAGACAGGTAGAAAGACTGTGCTCCGAGAGGTGGAAGGTGAGACAGGCACTCAGACAGACAGGTAGAGAGACTGTGCTCCGAGAGGTGGAAGGTGAGACAGGCACTCAGACAGACAGGTAGAGAGACTGTGCTCCGAGAGGTGGAAGGTGAGACAGGCTCTCAGACAGACAGGTAGAGAGTGCTCCGAGAGGTGGAAGGTGAGACAGGCTCTCAGACAGACAGGTAGAGAGACTGTGCTCCGAGAGGTGGAAGGTGAGACGGGCACTCAGACAGACAGGTAGAGAGTGCTCCGAGAGGTGGAAGGTGAGACAGGCTCTCAGACAGACAGGTAGAGAGACTGTGCTCCGAGAGGTGGAAGGTGAGACAGGCACTCAGACAGACAGGTAGAGAGACTGTGCTCCGAGAGGTGGAAGGTGAGACAGGCACTCAGACAGACAGGTAGAGAGACTGTGCTCCGAGAGGTGGAAGGTGAGACAGGCACTCAGACAGACAGGTAGAGAGACTGTGCTCCGAGAGGTGGATGGTGAGACAGGCTCTCAGACAGACAGGTAGAGAGTGCTCCGAGAGGTGGAAGGTGAGACAGGCTCTCAGACAGACAGGTAGAGAGACTGTGCTCCAAGACGTGGAAGGTGAGACAGGCACTCAGACAGACAGGTAGAGAGACTGTGCTCCGAGACGTGGAAGGTGAGACGGGCACTCAGACAGACAGGTAGAGAGACTGTGCTCCGAGAGGTGGAAGGTGAGACAGGCTCTCAGACAGACAGGTAGAGAGACTGTGCTCCGAGAGGTGGAAGGTGAGACAGGCACTCAGACAGACAGGTAGAGAGTGCTCCGAGAGGTGGAAGGTGAGACGGGCTCTCAGACAGACAGGTAGAGAGTGCTCCGAGAGGTGGAAGGTGAGACGGGCACTCAGACAGACAGGTAGAGAGACTGTGCTCCGAGAGGTGGAAGGTGAGACAGGCACTCAGACAGACGGGTAGAGAGACTGTGCTCCGAGAGGTGGAAGGTGAGACAGGCACTCAGACAGACGGGTAGAGAGACTGTGCTCCGAGAGGTGGAAGGTGAGACAGGCACTCAGACAGACAGGTAGAGAGACTGTGCTCCGAGAGGTGGAAGGTGAGACGGGCACTCAGACAGACAGGTAGAGAGACTGTGCTCCGAGAGGTGGAAGGTGAGACAGGCTCTCAGACAGACAGGTAGAGAGACTGTGCTCCGAGAGGTGGAAGGTGAGACGGGCTCTCAGACAGACAGGTAGAGAGTGCTCCGAGAGGTGGAAGGTGAGACAGGCTCTCAGACAGACAGGTAGAGAGACTGTGCTCCGAGAGGTGGAAGGTGAGACAGGCACTCAGACAGACAGGTAGAGAGACTGTGCTCCGAGAGGGGGAAGGTGAGACAGGCGCTCAGACAGACAGGTAGAAAGACTGTGCTCCGAGAGGTGGAAGGTGAGACAGGCACTCAGACAGACAGGTAGAAAGACTGTGCTCCGAGAGGTGGAAGGTGAGACAGGCACTCAGACAGACAGGTAGAAAGACTGTGCTCCGAGAGGTGGAAGGTGAGACAGGCACTCAGACAGACAGGTAGAGAGACTGTGCTCCGAGAGGTGGAAGGTGAGACAGGCTCTCAGACAGACAGGTAGAGAGACTGTGCTCCGAGAGGTGGAAGGTGAGACAGGCTCTCAGACAGACAGGTAGAGAGACTGTGCTCCGAGAGGTGGAAGGTGAGACAGGCACTCAGACAGACAGGTAGAGAGACTGTGCTCCGAGAGCGTACACCTTCACAGTAAGAGTTTAGCCCTTCACAGTAAGAGCGTAGCCCTTCACAGTAAGAGCGTAGCCCTTCACAGTAAGAGCGTAGCCCTTCACAGTAAGAGCGTAGCCCTTCACAGTAAGAGCGTAGCCCTTCACAGTAAGAGCGTAGCCCTTCACAGTAAGAGTTTAGCCCTTCACAGTAAGAGAGTAGGCCTTCACAGTAAGAGCGTAGCCCTTCACAGTAAGAGCGTAGCCCTTCACAGTAAGAGCTTAGGCCTTCACAGTAAGAGTGTAGGCCTTCACAGTAAGAGTGTAGGCCTTCACAATAAGAGTGTAGGCCTTCACAGTAAGAGTTTAACCCTTCACAGTAAGAGCGTAGCCCTTCACAGTAAGAGTGTAGGCCTTCACAGTAAGAGTGTAGGCCTTCACAATAAGAGTGTAGGCCTTCACAGTAAGAGTTTAGCCCTTCACAGTAAGAGAGTAGGCCTTCACAGTAAGAGCGTAGCCCTTCACAGTAAGAGCGTAGCCCTTCACAGTAAGAGCTTAGGCCTTCACAGTAAGAGTGTAGCCCTTCACAGTAAGAGTGTAGGCCTTCACAGTAAGAGTGTAGGCCTTCACAGTAAGAGTGTAGGCCTTCACAGTAAGAGTGTAGGCCTTCACAGTAAGAGTGTAGGCCTTCACAGTAAGAGTGTAGCCCTTCACAGTAAGAGTGTAGGCCTTCACAGTAAGAGTGTAGGCCTTCACAGTAAGAGTGTAGCCCTTCACAGTAAGAGTTTAGGCCTTCACAGTAAGAGTTTAGGCCTTCACAGTAAGAGTTTAGGCCTTCACAGTAAGAGTTTAGGCCTTCACAGTAAGAGTGTAGCCCTTCACAGTAAGAGTGTAGCCCTTCACAGTAAGAGTGTAGGCCTTCACAGTAAGAGTGTAGCCCTTCACAATAAGAGTGTAGTAAGAGTGTAGCCCTTCACAATAAGAGTGTAGGCCTTCACAGTCAGAGTTTAGCCCTTCACAGTAAGAGTGTAGGCCTTCACAGTAAGAGTGTAGGCCTTCACAATAAGAGCGTAGCCCTTCACAGTAAGAGTTTAGGCCTTCACAGTAAGAGTGTAGGCCTTCACAGTAAGAGTGTAGGCCTTCACAGTAAGAGTGTAGGCCTTCACAATAAGAGTGTAGCCCTTCACAGTAAGAGTGTAGGCCTTCACAGTAAGAGTGTAGCCCTTCACAGTAAGAGTGTAGCCCTTCACAGTAAGAGTGTAGTAAGAGTGTAGCCCTTCACAGTAAGAGTGTAGTAAGAGTGTAGCCCTTCACAGTAAGAGTGTAGGCCTTCACAGTAAGAGTGTAGGCCTTCACAGTAAGAGTGTAGGCCTTCACAGTAAGAGTGTAGCCCTTCACAGTAAGAGTGTAGCCCTTCACAGTAAGAGTGTAGGCCTTCACAGTAAGAGTGTAGCCCTTCACAGTAAGAGTGTAGCCCTTCACAGTAAGAGTGTAGGCCTTCACAGTAAGAGTTTGAGTTTAGGCCTTCACAGTAAGAGTGTAGCCCTTCACAATAAGAGAGTAGCCCTTCACAATAAGGGTGTATACCTTCACAGTAAGAGATTAGCCCTTCACAGTAAGAGTGTAGCCCTTCACAGTAAGAGCGTAGCCCTTCACAGTAAGAGAGTAGCCCTTCACAGTAAGAGTGTAGCCCTTCACAATAAGAGTGTAGCCCTTCACAGTAAGAGTTTAGGCCTTCACAGTAAGAGTGTAGGCCTTCACAGTAAGAGTGTAGCCCTTCACAATAAGAGAGTAGCCCTTCACAGTAAGAGTGTAGCCCTTCACAATAAGAGAGTAGCCCTTCACAGTAAGGGTTTAGCCCTTCACAGTAAGAGTGTAGCCCTTCACAGTAAGAGAGTAGCCCTTCACAGTAAGAGTGTAGCCCTTCACAGTAAGAGTGTAGGCCTTCACAGTAAGAGCGTAGCCCTTCACAATAAGAGAGTAGCCCTTCACAATAAGAGAGTAGCCCTTCACAATAAGAGTGTAGCCTTTCACAGCAAGAGTTTAGGCCTTCACAGTAAGAGAGTAGCCCTTCACAATAAGAGTGTAGCCTTTCACAGTAAGAGTTTAGGCCTTCACAATAAGAGCGTAGCCCTTCACAGTAAGAGTTTAGGCCTTCACAGTAAGAGTGTAGCCCTTCACAGTAAGAGTTTAGGCCTTCACAGTAAGAGAGTAGCCCTTCACAATAAGAGTGTAGCCCTTCACAATAAGAGTGTAGCCTTTCACAATAAGAGAGTAGCCCTTCACAGTAAGAGAGTACACATTCACAATAAGAGTGTAGCCCTTCACAATAAGAGTGTAGCCCTTCACAATAAGAGTGTAGCCCTTCACAATAAGAGTGTAGCCTTTCACAATAAGAGAGTAGCCCTTCACAATAAGAGTGTAGCCTTTCACAGTAAGAGTTTAGGCCTTCACAGTAAGAGAGTACACCTTCACAATAAGAGTGTAGCCCTTCACAATAAGAGTGTAGCCCTTCACAGTAAGAGTTTAGCCCTTCATACTAAGCCCTTCACAGTAAGGGTGTAGCCCTTAGCCGCATTCACACCGCAGGACTTTCCCTGGTACTTTGATTCTTTAGTTCCGTTAGTACCAATAATGTCGCGTTCACACCGCCGGGACTACTCAGTGCCGGGAACTCTTTTGGCCATTTTCAGTCCCTGCTAGAGAGGTGGTACGAACCTGGTGATAAAAGAGTGCCAATTTCTATTCTATTTCTATTGGCTGGGCGAATTGCAAACCACGCCCCGTTAGACTCTGAATTTGTTTTGTGAGGCAGCCATTTTTTTCCTCGCTACAAAACCACAGCCACACCTGAGCGAGTCGTTTGTACTTTAAAGCAGTTATGACCACACGTACTACAACACCGGAGCGGTGGAATGATGAGGAAGTGTCGGCGCTTCTGGCAATTTACTCTGAGGACGGGATGCAGCAGCTTCTACAGAAAGCAGTTCCCAACTCCAAATGTTTTGAGCGATGTTCGCAAAAGCTACTTGAGCTGGGAATCGTGCACAGTGCACACGGATGCCGGGTAAAAATAAAGAAACTCAGGCAGGACTATAACAAAATTAAAGACCACAATAATAAGAGTGGTAACGATTTTCTATTGTTATTATATATATATATATATATCAGGGTTTCCGTTAGCCGGTAATTACCGGTTTTTAGCTGGTAAAATTTAATAAAAACCGGTAAATTCAAAACCTGCCGGTCAAAATGTCCGATGCTCCGATCGATCGGCCGTCGATCATTATCGGCCGATATTCACTCTTAATAGTTTGATCTGTGCTCTCTATAGAGGCCGATCAGGAGAGCTGGATCTGATCGATATGGACATAAACGCGAGTGAAGTATAACCGGACGGAAGAGAGAGAGATCAGATCAGCTGCTGCATAATCACCTGAAGCCCCGCCTCTGTTTAGCTGCAGGAGAAACTGACGGGCTGTCAGGAGAGAGAGAGAGGGAGAGGGGAAAAGAGAGGATCCGTTTCTCCCGTGTGATTATTCAAAGTTAATGTAAACTTTTGAATAATGTACGTTATCTACTACAAGTAGTTTGTTTGAATGTAATAATTATGTTGTTTGTTGTTGGTGGAATCATTTATTGGAAAATGAATCTGAATTTTTCGATCTGTTACGATTATAGACTGAAGCAATATAAAAATGAGCCCCGTGAACTGAGTTTTAAACTGAAGCATATCCGGTCCTAGTCCGGTGATTACCTGCTAACGGAAACTCTGCTACACAATTCTTATTATTATTATTGAAACATGACCGGTAAGTTTCAAATTTGTCCGGTAAAATTAATTCTGTCCGGACATTTGACCGGCGAGAAAAAACCCTAGCGGAAACCCTGATATATATTGCCAGTTTTTTTAATACTGACACCTAACTTGCACTAAGGTATGTCTGCTGCTATATATATTGCCACTGTTACATTGTTTTGAAACTACTTACACTTTATTTTACATTTCACACTTTTATTTAACTTCCATGTACATGCATACGACACACCTGGAACAGCGTGATGCCTTATTGTTACGTCTTGACTGTGCAATAAAACAAACAAACTGGCGAAGCTTTATTTATTGTGTCCCACCCCAAATGTGCAGAATAGAAGAATGTGAGAGCAGACAGGTGTCGGTGGTTGAATTTATCTACAGTGTTGCAACCTTGTGCAGCAATGGCAGAAACACAAGTCTTACACACATAAACACAAGTCATTTATCATGTCATGTGTTTTAGATAAATAAACACCAAACAAGGGTTAATGTCCTTTTCCAGAATCAGCCTGAGGGGGTAATATATAATAAATACATAAAGATAAAGTCCATTGTTATAATGGGGTATTTTATTTGTAAATTACCCTTATTACTAGTGCTGG